CATCATAACGGGCTCTTTGGTTAGCTGTACTCATGCCCCCCATCATTAGGAGAATGTGCCGAGCCCAGATTGCTTCGGCAAGTGTGTTGACAGTCAGCAGGTTGGATTTTGATGCTGAATAGCTAGTAAGAAACCCACTAGCTGCGTTGCCCCTCTCCTGTCCTTACAGGAGTGTTCTAGCATGGACCAAGCTACCACTGAGCCGTGGGGAAAGTCCCTGTTTGCCTTATTACGGAGACTATAGTTAACATCTATTTTGCAAGAATATAGAATATAGCAATGTTTCCTGGCCCAGGAAACACAGAAATTGTTAAGTCCTCACCCTCTAGGAACTTCTAAGTGCTCACAGCACATCAAAACCAAACCAAAGCCATTCCCACTCACGGCCGCCCGTGTGTTGGCAATGACCCTTCACTGAGAACACGTAGGGACCGTTGCTTTGGGGCTGACACAGATTCAAGATTTTGAGATGCTAAATATCCTGGTCTCTGGATGGTACCAGGCTGTCTTAATTGATGCCACACAGATGCAGAGAGACAGGTTAGCTGACTAAAAACTCGAGGGCCCGAGACGGCAGGGTACTGATTGGAGCACCTCGCTGAATATTGAGTAGTGCAGACTTCTCAGAGATGGACTAATGAACTAATCAGTTAACCACTGACTGTACATCTGTATAGGACATTGTTTTTGAAGACCTAGTTTTGTTGGCATATACTTCATATATCTTATAATTTAATCATTCAGTCATATCAAGATTTGTAGTCATCACCACACCACAATGAATTGCAGAACATCTTCTTCTCATTGTTGTTAGCTCCCCATTTCCCCCCATCCGTCCTTGCCATACCTCCAGGCAAGTATCAATCCAGTTCTTGTCTCTATAGACCTACCTCTTCTGGATTTCATAGACAGAAAACCTTACAAAGCACGAACAGGAAGATAAGAACTAAGCACCAAAAACACCAACAACAATGACTAGACAAAAAACCTCACTCAAAAAGAAAGCAGAAAATATTACAAGCCTTTCAGAACAGGTCAAAGGGGAGAGCAAATGATGAGGTATTACATTTTCATCTAATTACATGTGCCGTAATCGACTTTACAGTGCTCTCTGTCAGACAACAAGCCTGTTCATGTCCTTCAGTAGTTAGAGGGGCCTCGCTGGGGACCCTGCAAATAGATTTGGGGCTTCCGCTGTCATCCCCAGCCTTCTGCACACCAGGTTGTACGGGGCACTGGTGCTATTAGCTGCCCTCAAGTCATTTCCAATGCGTGACAACCGCAAGCAGCACAGAGTAGACCTTCCCCATGGGCTTTCTTGACTGTACTTTTAATGCAGGCAGACCACCCAGAATTCCTACCCCGCCCTCCAGTACTCACGGTTAGGTGGGTTCAAACTGCCAACCTTCAGGTTAGTAATTGAGCACAATCTGTTCCACTCTGGGGCCGCGAATGTCGTTCCCCATATAGGTTAGACTGCCGTGGTCATCAAGACTGCGGCAGAAGAGCGTCCACACAGTAGAGAACTTTTGTGAGGGCAGTGGTTCTGGAATAGCCAGGAATGGAAACAGCTGGAGCAGCTCTCCTGGTGCCCAATCAAACTCGCTGCCGTTGAGTGGATCCTGACTCATAGCAAGCCCACAGCTCAGGGTGGAACTGCCTCTGTGGGTTTCCCAGACTGTCCACTCTACAGTAGTAGAGAGCTTCGTCCTTCTCCTGTGCAGAAGCTGGTGAATTTGAACTTGATTTTGTGGTTAGCAGCCCAGTGCACAACCCACTCTGCCACTAGGGCCTCTCTAGAAACACTCCCCAAACTCCAGACTCACTATCCTCGAGTCAGTTCTGACTCACAGCTACCCAAGAAGCTAGAAGTGCCATGGTGGGTGTCTTAGACTGTGACTCTTTACGGGAGTAGAAAGCCGCCTGCTGCTCCTGTTTTCGAACTGCTGCCCTTACACTTAGCAGCCTAATAGGTAACCACTATACCACGGGGCGCCAGTGAACGCTGGAGGCCTTAAAATGTCCTCAGGGCCAGGTCTCAAGTATCTCTGGCAAATCCTTGCTGCCTACATGGTCATCTTTCCATCTGAGATGTAGGTGGTTTTCTTGGCCCAAGTATAATGGGACCAGGAGTTTGGGTTCTATGATTTTATCTCTTAGGGCAACAGAAGATTCCCAAGCGTGACTTATTCTCTGAGCTAGATTAATGCAGGTGTGGGGTTCCTGGGGAACGTTTGGAACTTGGAAAACCCAGGAGCAGAACCCTGACCCTAAAGGACTTCACAGATCATTTGGTTACAGGGTGTGTTTTGTTTTGTTTCATTTCTTTTTCTCTTTCTCATTGTGGTAAAAATATATGCGAGGGGCTTCAAAAAGTCCGTGGAAAATTTTCATGATCATTTCATTTTTCCACAAACTTTCCAAAGCTCCCTGGTATACAGCAAAACATATGCAATATTTCCATGCTAGTCTTTTTCACATGTACAATTCGGTGCAATTAATTATGTCCGCCATGTTGTGCAGTGGTAAGGGATTATAAATTACTTTAGGGTACCCTATTGAAAATCTTAGCGATGTGGTGGACTGTTTACCCAGAGAAAATGGTATTTATGTGAATAAACTCAGAATGCTTCCTGCCATCCTGAGGAGGTGGCAGATTCCCCGAGGTAAGTGTGCGGGGTGTGGCCCCACCCCTAAGGTCTGTAAAGGAGGGCCGCGTGGCCTGGTCGATGCACCATCCTAAAAAAAGCATTTTCTTTCTTGCAGCACTGGCTGGATCATTCCAAACCCATAAAAAAGCAGATGAAAAGTAAGTAAGAGGCATTAAGCCTACTCATTTATTTCTCTTCTCTGTTCGTAAATCCTTTGCCAATGTTTTGAGGTGTTATGTTTCCATTAGAACCTGGAAGCGTTTTAAAATAGATCCAGTTTTAAGTGGATGGCTATTAATTTCTTAAGGCTAGCCAAATGTTGGCATTTAAAATTTGAATGAGTTTTTTGTAGATACTGAAAAAGAGAGTATGCTCTCATTTGAAATCAGATGTCCTTGCCAATGAGAACTAATTCATATACTATTCAGAAGCACAGTTTTATACCTATTATATGCACTTTCCAATGAGGTACAAAGTACAGTCAGGAAGTGGTAGTGCAGGAGACATCATGGACTGCCTGGTTCAACACTGTATAATATCCTTAGAGATAGATGGGTGGATGATAGGTGTAGGTATATGCACACTTATGTGTACTTTATACATATGTATGTATGTGTATGTATATATTCATAAAGCTCTAGCTGCTGCCCCTGAATCTATTTCAGCTCTTAGTAACCCTCTCATGCAGAGATGAACTACTTTCTGGGGTTTCCAGGTCTTTAGATCTCTGGGAGCAGAGAGGTTTAACTGTTGACTGTGTAACCAAGTGCACCCCAGGGCTCGATAAAATGTGTTAGTTTTGCATGCCCCTTTTGCACACTCCCAATACAGCAAGGAATGCGTGTTCAGTTTAACATCTTTTTCCTTTTGTCCATCCCGTGATCTTCAAAACTGGGGGATCAAAAACCATCTTCAACCTTCCATCTCCACGTGTTTAGTCGGACCCGCTTATGCTTTGCACTTTCGCGTTAAATACTATTCATCAGAACCGAACAACCTTCGGGAAGAGTTTACAAGGTAGGACACGATGCAGACCAAGACCCCACCAGTATCCCGGTCTCCTCACAAAGTACGGGTCTCTAGATTGTGGGATTGCTTCCTCTACACGAACACTGTCTGTACTTTTCTGTACTCTGCTGGCAACCCACAGTTTGACTTGACCTCTTTTTCTTAGTGAGTAGAAACAATGAGATTTATTTCCATGTCTGTCTTCTGTTTTCTGGGGTTTCGGACAGATGGGCTAGTCCTTCTAGCGGACTCTCTTTTTTTTCTCTCGGCTACAAAAAGGGAAGGCAGCTACTGGAAGAGTGGTTCTCCTCCAATGTCCAAAATCCATCCGACTTTTCCGAGGGATGGAAAAAGAAATATTCCCTTGTTTTCAGCCCCCTGTTTAAAATAGCTGTGTTCATGGCAACACAGTGGTTTGACTATCGCTGGGTTCTTTCCCCTCTGGGCGAGCTTCCTGCCTTGCTGAATTTCCTTTCACGTTCTGCCTGCCTCTTGTACTTCAGAAACAGCACAGCAGCAGCAAAGGGGATGTAAAATTTTTAAACATGGTGTTTCCATCCACCCACCCTCCCATCAGTGAGATTTCTGCCCAGCCCTGCCCTGCTTTTGATGTCCCCAGAGCCTCCTTGTGATTGTATGGTGCACAATAGTGGTGCCCAAAGCGGCTGGCTGGCCCACGGTGATGGCCACTAGCGTGGAGATGAATATGTAAGCTATAATGTATTATAGCCCCCTCCGTTCTGCTAGCCTGCAGTGGCGAGCCGTTCTTGTAGAATCTGAGTGCTCAGGGCAAATCAGAATCATGTCCTCCTTGATAGGTGTACACAAACAAAATAGTACCCTGAATTGCAGAAGCTCAGCTCAGTAGTGTGATGAAGCACCTGTTGGGAATCAGGAACATTCTGCAGTATAGTAGATCTTTCAGCTGCTCCCTCCTCTTATTTCTGGGTCACCAGTATTCTCCTTGATTCAAACCACAGAGAATGGTTGTCTGCCATTGGTTTTCAACTTCAAACAAATGAAATTAGCCTAGTGTACCTCTTCAGAGTCCTTTAAGCTGCTCATGATTGTCATCAAAGCCAGTGAGAGGTCCTTACCCAGGGTTGTGTGCAGCAGAACACCTGGGGACCTCTCTCGCGTGTAAGATGCTGATTCCTTACATGAGGAAGGGAGCGCTCTGTGGGCAGCCTCAATATTTGCAAAGCAGGGCAAGTGGTTCTGGTGCCCACATCCTGCTGGTTAAAAAAAAAAAAATCACGTATTGAAGCCACGACCTTTATTTTTTACCTCCGTGAAACCGCCTCGCGTTATCTGCTCTGTCCTCCCTCATACTTTTCCTTGTCCCTGCAACCGATTGCTGTCCAGTTCCAGGAGTTGTTTTGTTTCTCCATGCATGTATGCAGCATGCTTGTTTGGGTGTTTTAGAAAAACAGACTGCAGTTATGCTGCAGCAGGGAAAAAGCCTGCAGGGTGGCGAACTGGAGTGGCCTGCAGACTTTGGGATAGCACCAGCCGCAGCCTTTGTGGAATCGGCCGGCGGAGCTGGTGGAGAGCCGGGTCCGAGGTCCCTCTCCGGCTTGTGTCGTTGGACACGTTGCGTGCCTGTGTGCCGAGTCTGTGTCCTGCCTGGTTCTCTTCTCGAGCTTCCCGGGGGCGGGGGGTGGGACTGTGCAGTGTTCCATGCTCACTCAAGTATCTTGCAAATTCCGTACATGCCCTCACCTTCCTAGCTGGTTCTGGGATGCCTTCCTGCAGCCGCGGGGGGAGATGCTTCCACCAAAGGTCTCATTTGGGCTCCCTTTTTACAATGCAGAGCCCTGGGCCATGTGTGGGGCTGCGGGTGGGAGGGGAAGCTTGGGGATTGGCAGCGAGCAGCTGGGCAAGAGTTACCCTCTATTGACTTTTGTATATGTTTGTCAGGTACCTGTTTGTTTTACAACTCAGGCATGACATTCTTTCAGGAAAGTAAGTATGTTTTTGTTCTAACTCTCAATCCAGGATAGATCAGTGTCTCTATTTCAAAATAATTCAACTGTTTTCCCTCGCTTACCCTTGTTCCCTTTTCAAAATTAAAAAGAAAAAAAATTGCACCAGGCATTGTAAAGTGAGTCTAATACTTGTATCACTGTCACCATCATCCCATTTTAAATGATGACTCTGTGGCTTGAAGCATTTCCAAGAGCATTTGATATCTTCCGTGATGGGCATTTGGGGATCAGGCTCTCCTAGATGGCATCACTGCCCCATTCATAATGGCTTTTATTGTAGTTTGCAAGCAAGATACGTATTAATATGTATACACTTACAAGTCTGTGGACCGACACAAACTCTCATTTGTCACCACCGGCATTGAAGTGCTGTAGAGAGGTTATGCTCTGATTCTGATAGAAAGAGGTTAAGACACCTCCTCCTGTTTCCTCTTCCCCTCTTAAAGATGGCTTTCAAATGCTAGGTCTCTGGCTAGACAATCTAATGATTGCTGGGCATGAGGACAATTGGCACTGAGCTGGTTGATGCCACAAGCCAGATTAATTTGTTTTAAAGCTAGGAGATGTCAGCAGCCGTGGAGTTTACGATTATGTCGTTTTTCCACATAACGTAGTGAGAATTTCCTGTCACGGGAAAAACCAAGGGCATATTGAGCCTAAATAAACCATACCTGCTGTCGCCAAGAATGCAGGCTTACATCTTATTTTTAATATCACTGAAAGGAAATTTAAATTGTAATTGCAGAATCTGCAGGCTCTCAGTAGACCAAGCCATAAAAATCTCAGTGCACTATCCCCTGTGAAACAAGTGGATTGTACAGTGTATACATTGCCCTTCTGCAGCCAGGCAATAGAGACCGTTGGTTGGTGCGGGTGTTTGGCACGTGTGTCTGCCTTGTGTTTCTCTCTTCATCGTGTGCTCTTCATGCCAAAGGCCTCTCAACTCGAGGAATTGCCTTCCATTTGGAAAAATAATAATGGCAACACCTGGCATTCGTACAGTCCTTTACAGTTTATATGCACTCCAGCCCGGTGTGCTGAGCTGAATGGGGCTCCAGCCTCGCACTGCCTCCTGCCAGCTGGGTAACTTTGGGCCTGACACCATAACACTTGGATCCTCACCTGCAAAAGAGAGACGGGGCCCTGACAACACCCAGGCTTGGGGTTGCCTGACTCAAAAGCATTGACCAAACTGGATAATATTCAGGGAAAAGGTCGTGAAAACTATGAAGTGACGTGCCAGTGCATGCCATCCTTATTTTTCTACCTGGATTACAGTACGTAGTATTGAGATCACCAGGTGTGTAGAAATGCCCGCCCCACCCCGCTGCAAGGCAGTGCCTCAGTTTCACTGTTGGCAGGCTTGAGTGTACCCAGCTGTCCCGGAAGTGCTAGCTGTGTCACCGGTGTATTTATGTTTCACGTGATGAGCTTATTCCAAGGCATCTTGGAGAAGCACTTGTACTCTAACAAGATAAAATAAGTTTAAAAACAATAAAACACCTTGAGAGTCTAGACCTGCTGGCCAGTGGAGACGAAAGGACTCCCTGAGCTTACAGACCTAATAATACTCTTTAAAATCTTGAGCCCCATTGGTTCACTGAGGTCGTCCTTTAGCTAAACAAACAGACTGGCTTGTAAGATCAGCAATATCATTAGTGATTTTGTGCTCCTTTAAAAACAAAACAAAACAAAACCCTCATTTAAAAAAACCCGTGAGACCCTTTGGGCAGCACTCATACTAAAGCAAAGGTGAGAAACCAGACACTAGACATGGACATGCTGAACCCCCGGCACACAGTGTAAAATGTGGCAACATCACTGGACACGTTGTGTAAAACCTCACCGAGGAACACTCAGCTTTCATTGCAAACGCAGCGAATTGTTCATTTAAAATAATAATATATTACAAAGGAGTGGGCTTTTCGTTCTGTTTTCCAAACTCCCCAGTCCTGCCAAGTCAGTAAAATTGCAAGTTTGATAGTGGCTTGACCTCGGTCGGGTTATATTGACCCCTGGTGACGTCTAGCTTTGGGACAGGTGTAGTTTAAGTCAGATTCTTGACCTTCTTTGCTGTGGACAGCAAAAAGACCAACAGCACAGATGAACAATTTTTATCAAAGCACTACTGCCTTTTGCAAAGTGATTTTAATGAAAATCTGCATGTTATTTAAGTACATACTGAGATTTAATTTTTTTTCCTTTTCTCTCCCAAGATTGAAATGTCCATATGAAACAGCTGTGGAATTAGCTGCTCTCTGTCTACAAGGTACATTATTCGTTAGTAGTAATTAGGGTGTTAATGTTATTGCTTTTCATCTCTACGAATGGGTGTCTACAGTGCAGTAGGCATTAAGCTATCCTTCAGGGACTTCATTGAGCATGATACTATCTCTTTTTCCAGGGCAGGAGCACTGTAAGAATAGACGTGTACAGGGAAGCGTGGAGGAGAGCAAGACTCATGGTGGAACAAGTAAATTAAAATGAACAAAGGCATCGAAGTGCATAACAGAAAGAAAGGGCAGAGGGGTACCGGCAGCTTAGCGCTGTTGGCAGGAGAAGTTCAGTTCAAGAAGCCAGGGAGGTAGGTGACCTTGGACACCATCTAAAGAGCATTAATCACCTGCTAGCAAGTGGGTGCCTTAGAAAACTCTCAAGGGGAAGGCCGGCCTGTTCAAAGATGCATTTGAGAACGTTCACGCTGGCTGTGATGGAGAGGAGGGAATGGAGCAGGATTCAGGCTGGGAAGTGTGACAGCAATAGGGAAGAGGTGAGGCTGGGCTTGGGCAGGAAGTGCAAGAATTCAGAAAGAAAGCAAACTATTGGAAGTCAAGGGAAGAGGACTATGATAAGGCCTAGATTTTGAGAGAGGAATCTGGCATGACTCACAGACTGCCACCAGAAGTGGGTGGCGGCAACAGCGAATGCTTGGGAGAGTAGGTTCAAGGGAAAGGGGTAGCCTGTTTGGGCCTGGAGCCTAGGAAGTATCAGCAGTCCCTTGGAGATCTGAGTCTTTCTCCTGCAGCAAGGTCAGATCAGGGGGCGGAACCCTCAGCTGGGGAGTTACTGGCATGTGGGTGGAGAGCGCATTGGAGTTTGCCGGTGGTGGTGTCCGTGTTGACTGTTGGAGGATTTCCTTTAAACCTGCACGAGGAACCCTTGCTGACGTGTGTAGCGGTGATAAGAGAGAATGCCCGTGTGCGGCTGCACATAAGGAATTCCACAGGACGGCAGGCAGGCACGCGTTGTGCATGCACTTACCAATCTGTTCTGTGAGAATTCGGAAGTCTTCATTCACAGTTCATAATTATGTATTCACACCCTCATACGGTGTGTATTTTACCATGTCTTAAAAGTAGTCTGGGGAGGTTTTTCACATCACAAAACCGGCACTCAGTCCTGTCCAGATGTCGCGGCCACACCGCAGCACACAGCCTGGGGACGGAAGAAACCCGGGGACCCCCCACGCACAGGCGGCCCGAGCTGCCGTCTGCCAACTCTTAGTGGAGTCCTCAAATGTAATCTTGATCACAGTCGCATATGCGTGGTTTGGTTTGGTTTTTATATTTGGCATTTTTGAGAGAAGCTTTTTGCCGTGTTGACTCATAAGGACGGTCCCATTACCTGCCATTTTCATGCTTATGACCTAATAGGGGCTTGGCGTGTCGTCAGTGCTCAGTAAGTATACAGTGAGTCGAATGAATACTGTTGGAGAGACAATCCCCCCCCACCCACCCCCACACGGACTTTCACAGACTGGTCATGGGGGTGGGATCTGTGGCCATCTCACCAGGTACAATGCTGAAAGCTTCCCATCCATGTCTCCCTGAGACTCACGGCCCTTACAGTATCACAGGGATCTGTGCAGCTGTGTGGACATGGCCTTGGTCTTGGCTTTTCTGCCAGAGCCTTTGGCCTGGTAGAGATGTTGCTATTGCTGAATGATCAAGTGTCCTTCACCCCTGTGTGGGGGTCTGCGTCATTGGGTGGTCTTCCCTCAGGCCTGGGTGGTCCCGCAGTTTAATGGAATAGAAGCGTCGTGTCAGACCCACCAGTCACCTGGAGAGTGGTTCCTTCCTGAGGCTGCTGGAGCAGTACTATAAGCTTGTGTGCCGCCCGCAATGGTTTCAGATTGAGGCCCCCATGTTTTCCACGCCACTCCCATCACAGGGCCCCCCCCTCCCCGTGTCCTGGGGCATCCCCATACTTTAGTAGACCCATTTGCCAGAGGCCACGCAGACAAAAACGAGGTCAGGTCTGTGATCCTTTCTTTGAGAATTACCCATTCAAACAGCAACTATGAATTCCTATAGTTCAAGGACACACTTATTATATCAGACACATATAGAAAGACTTAGACACGCAACTGGAGAAGCTCCCGTTACACTGCCCCTCCGTGTCCCACGCCACACATGTACCCTCAGTAAACACTGTATAGCATGCCTTCCGGTTCAGCCATATCCAAGCCAGCTGGCCTCTGCCTCTAAGGCTCGCTTGGCCACCTGCATGGCTTGTCTAACTCACAAGGTGGTGCTCCCGCCGAGGCTCAGGTCTTGAAGACACCTCTTGCTCTGGTTGCTTTGCATTATTGGTGCCTTGGGAGTTGTGTGATATGGCACCCTGCTCTTAGGGGAACTAAATGTATGGTATGTTTGAAAACTAGCATGGAGGGAGGTCAAGAGAAGAAAAAGGAAGGGGGAGAGGGAGAATGGGACAATCGCGCTTGCTCGTCCCTGCTCCCGATTGAACTTCGACTTGCCTCCGGTCACGCAGACAGTCTGTGATAAGGTTGGGTTTAAGCCCTACTGGCTCTGAGCTCCTTCCTTCATGCTCTGCAGCCTCCCTGTTGTGGAAGCGGAGGGAACAGCCCAAGGCCAGCAGGTTCCTGGAAGGCAGGCCCTGCTCTCTCACACACGGAGTACCGGGCATCACTCAGGCCTGTTGTCATGCAGCCGTGTTGAGAAGGGACGCCAAGCCCCTGGCCTGGTCTGAACCCCGCAGAGGAGCCTTGTCACTGTCTGACGTTCGCTCCCGTCGCATGATGACATCAGGTGCAGTGCATCCAGCCTCGTCCTCCGCTGCC